CTATAGAGAAATGACAGGTCTCTAATTAAATTGATTTGATCAAGAAGCTCTCAATACTTTGACTTATTATTTGATTAGACCTGATTTGTTCTTTATTGTTTAGTGTTAGAGCTTCTTGGAAGTGAATTACAAGTTCATTTCTTGAATGTCATCAATTAATGTATTTATTTCTGATATTTTGTCTACTAAGTTCGAAGGAAATTTGAAATCTGATGAGGCAATAATTATTAAGATAAGAAATTAAACTCTGAACTGAAAGATTTTAGAGTCCCTGGGCATCTCTTTTGATTTGCACTTAGATCTTTCTAATTAGACTCCGAGTCATTAATCATCTTTATGACTAAACTTTTCATATTTAATTAATAGCTTGAGTGTTTATTGTCTTTTTTACTTAGCATCATTGTCTAAAGTTGAGCATCTTGAAAACAAAATGACCCATAATGCAACAGTGACCATCAGGCGGCCTTTTCAGCTCCAATTTGAAATGATTTATGTGATGATTCAATATGAAAATAAAATTGATAATCTTGGAGTTTTAGGAGCATCAGTATAGCTTTTATTTTAGGATTATGTGCATTTTAATTATGCAAATGATCATGAAATGTTGTCATGGTTTTCAATACAAAATTTAGATCTGGAGAATAAGCATTGTCATGGAAACCACATCTGTATTAGAAATACATTACTCTTTTTATTTTTTTGTAATGTTCCAAAAAGAGGCAAAAGGGTGCAGAATGGCTGTTAAATCACTCAAAGTGTCACTGTTAAATGATGTCATCTAATTTTTTTGTCATCACCAAAAGTGGTGACATATTGTTATGGTCTCCGTTTTTTGTGACAGCGGTTGGTGGTTGGCATCCGGTGTTTTTAACAAATTCTAAAAACTTCTGATCGGTTCTACTTCTACTACTTCCACTTCAGAGGGTAGCACCTGTGCCTAGCCACTCATTACTAGACTCCGTATGAGGTGTTTAGTCAAGTAGAGGGGGGGGGATCACAGAGACTTGTAGCTTGACTACTAATTTTTGAATTAATCACTCACAATTCAAAACATTGACCTTAAAAATCTTTATGTACGTTATCAAATCTTCATGAGGTCATTTTGGTTCTCCACTTGTCCTGAGTTTAGATACTGATATCTTTCTCATAAAGCACCACATGTTTTTTATAAATCATTGACCTATCAGCCTATCATTAACATATCCTGTCAATGAGGCATACTGAAGTAGAAAAAGTCAAGCTCTTTCGAAAGTTTGAGAAAGTTATAACCGAGAAAATAGCAATATAATAGCAATGAAGCTACAAAGAGAAAAAGTCTCAATTGAAATGTTTGATCCAATGAAGCATGATTGGAAAGTTGCACAAAAAATTGCCACAGCTGGGCTTATTGAACCTACTTGTAGAGCAACATGGGCAACCTCACGTAGTTTATATGTTCTAGTACCTTTATTGGGACTTTCTGCAGCTACGGCAGTTTTAACTTCATGGAGTTTGGGACTTGTGACATTTTTTGCCCTTTACATGGGGTATTATATCTGGAACATTTACATCAATTATCCAAAGAGTTATTATAACGAAGAACTTGATGCATATGAAAAATTCCCCAAATTTTGGTCCCAGAATGTGGATTTTGGCAATGTATTATGGGTAATACAATACGAAGGTGATGTTATAGCAACAGCTGGTGTGAAAACAAATGATTCTAATGAAAAGGAAATAACAAGTTGGTGTTGTGAAAGAATTTCAGAGAAATGGACTTGCAAGACTTTTATTAGAACATGTCTTAGAATATTGTAGAGAACAGGGCTATGAGGCGGTTGTTTTGGGACTTTCAGAGGAATATTTGAAACCAGCATTTGCTTTATATACAAAATTAGGATTTAGAAAGATTGAAGGCAGTGAAATGTTCCATGATTTACCATATTTTCCTACATTACCAAAATCAAGTTCTATATGTACAATTATGATGAAAAAGTATTTGAACAGTAAAGACATCTTAATAAACTTGTGTGATTACACTCAAAAGTATTCATGCAAAAAGACATTTGAACCTGAATATTGTGAAAAAGTATTTGAACAGTAAAGACATCTAAATAAACTTGTGTGATTATACTCAAAAGTATTCATGCAAAAAGACATTTGAACCTGAATATTGTGAAAAAGTATTTGAACAGTAAAGACATCTAAATAAACTTGTGTGATTATACTCAAAAGTATTCATGCAAAAAGACATATGAACCTGAATATGGTGAAAAAGTATTTGAACAGTAAAGACATCTGAATAAACTTGTGTGATTACACTCAAAAGTATTCATGCAAAAAGACATTTGAACCTGAATATGGTGAAAAAGTATTTGAGCAGTAAAGACATCTAAATGAACTTGTGTGATTACACTCAAAAGTATTCATGCAAAAAGACATTTGAACCTGAATATGGTGGAAAAGTATTTGAACAGTAAAGACATCTAAATAAACTTGTGTGATTACACTCAAAAGTATTCATGCAAAAAGACATTTGAACCTGAATATGGTGAAAAAGTATTTGAACAGTAAAAACATCTAAATAAACTTGTGTGATTACACTCAAAAGTATTCATGCAAAAATACATTTGAACCTGAATATGGTGAAAAAGTATTTGAGCAGTAAAGACATCTAAATGAACTTGTGTGATTACACTCAAAAGTATTCATGCAAAAAGACATTTGAACCTGAATATTGTGAAAAAGTATTTGAACAGTAAAGACATCTAAATAAACTTGTGTGATTATACTCAAAAGTATTCATGCAAAAAGACATATGAACCTGAATATGGTGAAAAAGTATTTGAACAGTAAAGACATCTAAATAAACTTGTGTGATTACACTCAAAAGTATTCATGCAAAAAGACATTTGAACCTGAAAATGGTGAAAAAGTATTTGAACAGTAAAGACATCTAAATAAACTTGTGTGATTACACTCAAAAGTATTCATGCAAAAAGACATTTGAACCTGAATATGGTGAAAAAGTATTTGAGCAGTAAACTCATCTAAATGAACTTGTGTGATTACACTCAAAAGTATTCATGCAAAAATACATTTGAACCTGAATATGGTGAAAAAGTATTTGAACAGTAAAAACATCTAAATAAACTTGTGTGATTACACTCAAAAGTATTCATGCAAAAATACATTTGAACCTGAATATGGTGAAAAAGTATTTGCACAGTAAAGACATCTAAATTAACTTCTGTGTTAACACACATTTGAACATTACAGACATTTGATTATGTATTAAAAATCATGCTGAAAAAGTATTTTAACAGTAAAAGACATAAATGAACTTGTGTGATTACACTCAAAGTATTCAAGCAAAAAGACACATGAACCTGAATATGGTGAAAAGGTATTTGAGCAGTAAAGACATCTAAATTAACTCATGTGATTGCACTAAAAAGTATTCATGCAAAAAGACATTTGAACCTGAATATGGTGAAAAAGTATTTGAACAGTAAAGACATCTAAATTAAAATTAACTTGTGTGATAACACATTTGAACATTACAGACATTTGATCATGTAATAATTATGTTGAAAAGACATCTAAATTAACTAAATGTTTTAATAAAATCACTGTATTTATGGCCAGAGAGTACTCATGGTGAAAGATATGACTGTCTAAAATCACTTGCCATACTGCACATGGACCTTTTATGAGGACTGGATAAAATGCCAGATACATTTACCTTATTTATTGATTACCCTGTAAATGAACTAAATGTATATTTACCTTATACTCCCTAATAGATGCACATGCTCCAATAAACACACATCCTACTTTTCCCAAGAAAGACTCTGGCAACTTTAGTAACAAACATTCAGAAAAAACTAAAAATTTCAAAAAAGTAATTGGACGTTAATAGGGTTAATTGACTTAATCCATTTACCACTATTGATTGAGCCATTTCAAACTATAAGTACATTTATGATTGTCTTTAAAAATGATGAGTTAAAAGCTATAATATAATGAACATTAATTGTGACTGCAATTCTTTTCCGATCCAAAATATTTCTCCACATTTTCCCACACAAACAAACATTTAATCCTTTATAAACATGTAGTATTATTATTGAGACTCTGACTATAAGCCTTTAGACTTTAAATCAGGTATCATAGTCAATTTTTGAAATGGCAGCCTTAAGTGGATATTTTCATTGATATCGATGCACATTTGTCGAACTAAAACATATTCAGCAAATCAATACATGCATGAGGAAAACATTAAGGTATGGCATTCTGTTATTTAGTGGGATGAGTCCAATTCAAAGGAGAGAATTCATGAAATACTCTATTATCGTCCATTTATTTAACTTTCAATACCCTGTGATTTTGTAATTCGAGATATCTCCTACAGGAGAATTTGGGAGAGGCACTGTGCATTTATTAGAGAGTATATGGTAATGCTAGAAAAGTACTGGAACAGTACTGGTTCAAGTATGATCTGGTACTGATTTTATGGTGGCCATTTTAAATGTGTTATTTTTACAATTTTTGCTACACACTAAGTTAGTGTAAAAATGCGAGCCAATTGGCTGTTTGATAAGATTTGCTACGGTTTGGCATTGCCATCATCTGGTTTTGCCTTCAACTAAAGATTCATTCTATTATTCTCTTATGCAACACAAAGGTTGCTCTAGCTGATAGCCAGGAGTTTTTTTTTATCAAAAAACATTTTCAGTTCTTCAGGATTTTATGGAGTGTTAAACATGCTTTTTAACATTATGCTTTAATTACCAATCACAGTAATCAGAAGATTACTTTGTGACCAAAGTCAGTATATTGTAATGATAGGGAATGCCAGAGTGAACAATATTTCAAATGTAGTATTGCATGACAAAACAGGAAGGAAGTGGAATGCTGAAGAGAAGCTAAAAAGAGAAGTGAAAAAACAGGGATTTAGATTTGCTGTACAGTGTATTTGCAGATTTGTTAATACAATAAATAATATGTAAATGTTGCAGAGAGTTAGAGTATGACAAGCAGCTGCTACAACGTTACAAGAAGGCTCTGGATACATCTGTGAAGATTGCGACTGTGCACAATGTTCAACCAATCAGAGGCAGGACAGTAATATTTTGCAACATGGGACTAAGTATGGACAGACCTTGCACCTCAGCTAGAGGACTTGGCAAACCAAGAAAGGTAATGTTGATTATTTAGTTGATGATTTATGATGAACATTCAGAAGTTAAAACCTTATAACTAAAGCTCTGAAAAATGGACACAAATGGATTGATTTTCTTTATTTTAGCACTACTGTATAATCACGTCCTCCTAGGCAGGTGTCCAGAATCCGTACCTCCTTCTTCCCCCTGCTATAACCAATTTGGAAGCGCCCCATTAAACTGAATCATATTGATCTAATTATGCGCAATGACTTAAACATGATTTCTAACGCAGTGTTGCGACAGCCATTCAGATTGCGATTTTTAATTGGGGAAATGCTAACTGCTTATCGCAGGGGGTAAAAAGAAAGAATATATTCTGGATTTTGAAGTCCTGTGATTGGAGGATGGTAGAATCAAAAAATTATTTTTTCCCTAAACTTTAAATTTCCTTAAATTAACAGGTAGAGAAAGATTTGAAATACCATTATTACATTTTAATTTAATCTCTGTTTTTTGATAATGATTTGTATCCTCATAATACAATAAGCTTTAACCCTGATACTGACATGTTTGTAGGTGTATGAGGTAGGTGTACTACTAGGTCTCATTTGTAAATACTCGTGCGAGGAGTCCACAATGGTAGTGTATGGCCTAGAGAACCATAGAGAAGTGGAGTTAGAAAAGGGGACAGTGCTGGACAATATGGAAAGCCTGCTGGAGCTTTACACTGTGAGTTCACTTTTACTTGTACAACCATTTACAATGTCAATATACTGTCAATCGTTACATGTACCAACCATATAGCTGTTGCCCATAGAGCATTTATATTTAAACACATAGAACACATTCATCAATATTAAAGATTTGACCATAACACATACAACCATTACAAATTAGATACATATATTAAACATACAAGCATTAATATAGAACCATTACACATATATTCATTGCAAATGCAATCATTATATTTCATTTATTTATACAATTTGTAATTGCCAGTAGAGCTTCCAAAATATTTTCTCAGAAATTTCAAAAAGCTTTTGACTTCACCTGAAGTCAGTCGTTACTGGTGCAAAACTGAAAAACTTACCATGACATGTTTTGCCAAATTTCTACCCATAAATTATTTCCATTATTTTTTGCACATGCACATCACAGTGTTTACTTTTATATTTTAGCTGCTGAACTTTACAACATCGAGGCCAGATCATGATATGTTTGCTGAACCACCTGAACCAGAACATGCCGCAATTCCCCAGAAATACATGCATGAGTTACTGCGAGATAGGGTCCAGGTAACTTGTAATATTATTTCATAATGCTACATTGATCCACAATATACTTAAAAAAATTCCTATATGACTACTCAATTCAAAATGGTTGCCATTTTTGTGCAGACATAATCTTGTATAAAATAAATAATCAGATTTTATCTAAATTGTAGAGGCCATTATTGTCTTGTGGAAATAGAACAATGCTTGAGAAGGCATTTCCAATATGGCTGCACGATTTAATATGGTCACCATTTTTTAGGAGAAATATAATTCTCCATTTCGCTGTTCGCTCTTTGAATCAGAACGTTCGCATATATGGTGCATATATGTACTCAAAAAGGACAAAATTTGATTGGTCAATATTTTTCAACGATGCATTTCGTGTAGCTATTTGTGAGACCCGAAAGTTCTAAATCAAATTAATTACGCAATTTTGTTTTTACACCCGCAAGCTAAATAAAAAAATGACACCATCGGAATTCTTCTTCTTTGTCATTGAATTAATAGTCAGTATACCAGATTTAATCAATAAAAGATTATACAATTAACAACAAAATTCGGAAACGAGTATGTAAGATTTGCTTTCGAACCACTAAACTTGACCTAGATAATAGCGACGTGTCTTCTTTGGTCAAATGCTCAGTTGTTTGTGGGTTTTCAACGTAACTCTATAATGTAATATGAAGATGAGTACTTTTATTCAGTTGTTGCATCGATGTTACAGTTTGTAGTGCGGTAATATTGGCATGAACGTGTTGAAAGTCGAATGGAATTGCTTTTTCCAATATGGCGACTAGTCACGTGACTTCTTCTCTTCCGGAATATACTCCCATTTTCAATCATTGTTTTCACCCCGTTAGGAGCCAATAAAATGAAAAAAAATATATGTTATATAAAGATTATTAAAAGACTAATTGTTTCTGATAGTTTGTTTTCTCCGATCGCATGGAGATTCGATCGAAAATATCGCTTGAAAAATGGGTATGAAAATCCCCATGTTAAACCAACGGGGAAAAACAAGGTAGAAAAATTTTGTTCCCCCGCGAACTGCATCATGGGAAATATTTTGACCTTATAAGGAAAAACTTTCGCGCCATCTTTATTAGAGATTCAATACTACCGAATCCGCGATTTTAAGAATTGTATGATATCTCAAAAAGAACACATTTATTAGATTTGCTCATTTTAAAGCTTGATGCCTTATAAGTATAGAGCCTCCTCCTGAAAAGCTGTTTCTAGTATGGTGTCATGTTATGGGTGTAGATTTTGCCAAAAGGAGACACTTACTACTACCTGGTTGTTTGTAACATGAAATGTTCAAAATGATAAGTGATTCAATCAAAAATAAATTTTGTTTGGTGGGATCTGCTACTACATGGACTGTGCAGTTGCTGTTTTTATAATTAGATATAATGATACATTTGTATGATATAATTAGATATAATGATACATTTGTATGATTGTACCACATGCTTTTGAAATTGATCAAAACATTCAAGGAACTCAAATACACTCAGAACCTAGTGAACTAGATCAATCACTCAACTTTACACCATCTAATTAATATATATAGAACATGAGCTATTCTGCATGTACATCACTAGGATGTATATATCACTTGTATTTCAAGGTGGACAATTTTGTGATTTTATCTGATGGCATGAATCTTGGCAGTGTTGAGGGAAGGCAGGTGACAGACTTCTTAGTGAAATATCGCCAGATCGTCAATCCTAACCTCTTGTTTGTGAGTGTCGACCTTAGCGGGAAGTCATGTGGGTAAGTACTTAAAGGCAATCTACATATGTAGTAAGGGAATTTGTTGCATCTGACTTAGTTATAGGTGTTTTAGTCATCTCATGATTGGTTACAATTTTGATAATCCTTTTTGCTATCAGTAAGTTATTAAGTAGGTGAATCAAACTGGAAAACAGAAGCACAATAAATGTATATCATAGAATATAGAAATATAACCGGATGATTTATTGTTCACTTAAACTAGCACTAACCCTTATATAAGAAAAAATGATCCAACATTCAAGATGTAGTATGATCTCGAATTTCACTTTGATAACTTGGTTTTGCCAAATACCAGGATTCATATTCCATTACACGTCTCCATTGACTTGATTCAGCCATTAAGATTGCAAGTAATAATTTGGAGACATTTTGTCTTTAGATTTGCCAAGGACATCCAACCTGGACATGCTAATGACATATACATTGCTGGATACAGTGATGCTATTCTAAGGTATGTAACATGGCAGAGCAAATTCATTTGTATGTACTAGGTGAAGTTAAATGTTCTATAAAGGTACAAAATTATAAAAGATACATATTCATTTTGTCTTGTTCTAGGGGCAGGTTATTATCAAACATGTATGCCTCAATCCTATCCTCTTGTCTCTGGGGTACTTGGCTTTTGAGGTTGCTCCTCATAGGAATTTTGAACTCGAAACATAAAGGGTAAACAGTTGTAAAGTGATGAGCAAAATTTGAAGTGTAGACCACATAGGTCATTAAGATCTGATGTGCCTGCATCCAAACTGTGAAATCCTCTGTCCTAGACAGAGAGTATTAATTGTAATATAAGCCTCTTGGTCTCAGGTTCTATGTACATGATGAACTCGTACATACTTGTGAGTACAATAAAACCTACATAAGTGGAACACCTCATACATCCCAAAACATGTTCCACTTACAGAGGCTTATTTTGTATAAAGCTTATTGGCAACTGGACCATAAGTTTTTCCTTTATTGAGGTGGTCCAATACTAATTGTTCCATTTTACAGGTGTTGCTATATTTAATTTGCCCTGTTCTAGGTTCATAGCTGAGAGAGGAGATGGAGGTCAGGTGAACTATGTGGAAAATATCCATCAGGCCTATGAACTCACTCCTCTCGCCACCACGCAACAGCATCCAACTGACATATTGCTACCTGACCCTCAGAAACCTCTTCCTGTACCCATACTAGCCCCCAGGTAAAAGCAAATAAGTTGTTGACCTGTTCTGTATACTTGTTTTCTTAACAGTTCATCATTTTTACACATTTTTTCAAAGGTGGTTCAATTTGGCAATATTTTGTAAAAGGTATCATGAAAGTTTATGTTTTTTTTATTTTGTTCTTCTATTACTTAAAAGTATAATTGTTAAATAGTTTCTAGGTCAGTAAAGTTGCTTTTTGCTTTAATTTTACAAATACATGTATTTACATGTTCTCACCCTTTCTACTAATAGATGGCGATCAGCCAGAGTTTTCATCTCATCCACATTCCGTGATATGCATGGGGAGCGAGACTTACTGACCAGGTTTGTGTTCCCAGAGCTGAGGGCCAGGGCCCAGGAGCTGTGTGTCAATGTGTATGAGGTGGATTTGAGGTGGGGAGTGACAGAGGAACAGACCCGCACCAATCAGTAAGTTCATGTATGGGGTCATTTCAAAGGGGTTGCATAATTCATTTCATTAAAGGGATAGTATGTCCAAATTTTTTTCTGTATTTCTATTGTAAAAACAATCCATATCCTACCAGTTTCACTTATTGTCATAGATATTTTTGGTTTTAAAATTTTTAAAAAGATATTGTAAAGAAACTGGATGTTGCCATTTTGAATACTGAATCTAAACTCCAATATATTAATCTCTATCACATGCTAATGTAATACTATATCTTTTATGCAGAACCCTGGAGTTGTGTCTGTCTGAGATCAAACGTTCTGACCTGTTTGTTGGAATTCTTGGCCAGCGCTATGGCTGGATGCCAATGAATCTTGCAGTGAATGACCAGGAGACATCTGATTGGCTGCTGGAGAATCATCAAGGCCATTCAGTAACAGAGATTGAAATGTCATACGCAGCACTCAGACACCCAGACAAGATGGCTGACAGAGCATTTTTCTTCTTTAGAAATGATTTATCCGAAGAGTAAGTTCATGTTTACATCTGATTAAAATGGACATTTTTCACATATGGCTTATTGAAAATGCATTGATGTATTTTAATGTGCCTCGCAGTACAGAAACTTCATGGGAAATATGAATACATAACTTCTTTTGAGAAGGTCTTCCACTTCGGTTCTGTGGTGTAAAGGTTAGCACTCTGGACTCCTGATGTCAAGATACTGGGTTCAATCGCAACTTGATGCACAGGAGCTAGCTTGACCTTACTGGTACACCTGAGAGAAGTTGATTACTAGAGTGATACTTACTCGATAAAAGGCCTGTGCTGGCTTGAACTGTCTGTGGTTCTAGCCAGGATAAAGATACCAGTTTCTGTCAGATTAATATGGGGAGCTGTTTCTACTTTAGGATATCAAGTTACATTATCCTACCACACGTATATGCATTGCCCTATGGTGTCTGTGGGAGATATGTAACTCAAATGAAAATGAAAGGTGAAGACAGTTGTAACATTTGTGACATTGCATGTTGCAGGGGTATCCCTTCCAAGTTTCTGAATGACTTTATTGACAAGGGAAATGATACAAAGAACAAGATGGATGAGCTCAAGGACAAAATCAGACACAGTGGACTCGAGGTGGATGACAGGTAAACAGAGTCATATGAATGAAATGACATGGTCATTAATACAGTATTTTCAGTTTTGCACAAGTTAAAGTGATGAATCCTGCTAGAGTAACTAGTGGATTCTGTGGAATTTTTCTGTAGTTTTAGATGAAATATGAAACAAATATCAGACCAAAATATTATGAAAGTTATCTGTTTAGTCATAGATGTAATATTCTACATTTTGCAACAGAAAAGCATACAAGTTCAAGGTTAGGTATTGAAATGTTTTTGTGGGTTTTTAGGCTGATTATTTATCAAAAATCAGGATTTTGCAAATCAACAAATAAATTGTGAAAACATTTTGTTTGTAGCTATCCTGCTGTGTGGGGTGGTGTGGTGGATGGTAAACCATTTGTTTGCCACTTAGAGCAGTTTGGAGCTAGTGTGTTGAGTAAACTTTGGGCTGCTATTGAGAAACTCTATCCTCCACAGGTAAATGGTACTTTATTATTTATTTGAATTATTTTCCCTAATTGTTTACCTTTTTTTGTAGTTATGAAATAGTTGATCAATATAATAGAAAGAAATCTACTTGAGGTGTCATTTTGATGAAGGTTTTCCGAATGGCTGTCCCCACAAGAGTTCTTTTTAAATGGGAATCTTTTTTATCATAACATCATAAGATGTATCGTGAAGTGTGTATGTGTATAAAATATAGCAGCATAAGAAATATTTGGCACAGCTTTTCCTTAGCCATTTTTTTGTTGAATATGTCTATAGACATGGTGACAAGAGGAGACATGGTGACAAGAATAGACACTGTGACAAGAATAGATGTGATGACAAGGTGAAAAGAATAGACATGATGACAAGAAGAGACACTGTGACAGGAATAGACATGTCAAGAATAGATATGATGCCATAATTAACACAGTGACAACAATGAATAAATAATTATTGCAAGACTATTAATTATTAATATTTTTAGGATGAGACAATTGATGAAATATCCCATGAGACCTCTCTACATAATGCTTATGAGGAGGCACGCCGTAAAGTGTATGTTGGACGTCAGAAGATGTTGAAACATGCCATTGACTTAATGGCCCATAAGACGAATGGTGTTGTGATGGTCTCTGGTAAACCTGGAGTAGGAAAGACTTCCTTCATGGTTAGTTTAACGACATGCATGCCATTTAAAAAAAATTCAACTTTTACATAAAAACATTGATTTTACTATTTCAATCTGGAAGAATAGATTTACATGTATTCATTTAAAATGCTGTCAAGATCAAATCGACATCTAATGTTGTCTAATGAAAGTTCTACATATTCTTCATGTCTAGTCCTTATGCTTGCAGGCCAAACTCGTACAATCACTTGCAAATAATAAAGCCAGCAGTCCCGGGCTGAATATTTTGACACATTTCATTGGAGCTGCCCCAGGGTCAAGTAGCATCAACTCAATGTTTAGAAGATTTTCCTTTGAGTTGAAAAGACGTTTTAATTTGGCTGGGGATGTCCCTGAAGATTCAAGGTAAGATATACCTGATCAACGGAGAGAGTGATTTTATTAATGCTATACAAACCCTTTTATAGGTATTTTTAGAAACAGTATACCTAATTTCCCATAGCAACTTACTGGTGTACCCAACCCTTAATGTATTATTTCATATGCTAAGATTTATCCACTATTTCTATATAGGAGAAGTGTACATTGTACTATTACCATTGATGTGTCGTGTTTTAACTAGAATTTTCCATAGAAAATATGGGCTTGGCATTGAATTTCTACAATAAAGTTCTTTAATGTCTGAACCCCTTTCAGCTCCCTCCCCAGTGTGTTCATTGAGATGACAAAACAGGCTGCTATAGTCAGTGGACAGCCCCTGTACATGTTCATAGATGGCGCTAATGGGTTTGATGACACACACCGGGCAAGGAATATGGATTGGCTGCCAGAGACACCTATTGAGGTAGAATTATCAGAATTAATATTTGTTTATTTACTCTCACTATTTACAACAGTGGCACATTAAAGTTATCAGTGTGGCATAGTGACATATGTGATGGACAGTGCTTTTTTATTCAAAAGTAATTGTTTGACACATATAAGTACAAACCCTTTGTCCCCTCAAGTTATACATGTATGAGATTGTGCATGAAATCAAAGTACTTATTTGCCCAAAAAATTTGGATCACCATAACTGCAAGGTATGACTCTATAATGCATCAATTTTATGTATCAATTAAAGAACATAAATGTATGATATGAGTACATGTACATTGCCACATTATGTTTATAATCAATTAACATGCAAATGTGATGTGATAGTGACATAATCAGGCCCGTAGACAGAGGGGTTTGGGGATTTCGAAAATCATGCAGTTTTGCACCACTTTAGTTTTTTAAGTGATTTTGGGCCAAAAACATCAGATTTGAACCCCCTGGATGTTTTTAAACCCCCTTGGTAAAAGCTGGCTATAGGGCTATAATTTAATGACTAGAAAGTCTTCAGTTTACAATTTTCGTGACGGTTGCTGATGAAAACATTTCCTGTTGATAATGAGCATTTTTGTGACACGTTTCACTTTTGTTACCATTTGAAATTATGTACCAGATGCTGACATTTTTTCATGTAAATGTTGAATTTTGTTTTAACATAGTCAAAATATTTTGTGGTTCAGAGGTCAAATGCGTTACATGTATTATGAATCCATTAGTTCTATCTTTTATTATAGAATGTAGTATTTGTGGTGAGTTGTCCAGATGAGGGGGAGACATACCAAGCGCTACAAAGACGCAGGGCAGAGAGTATCATCGTTAGGGGCCTAGAGATATTAGATAAAGCAGAAGTTGTTCGTAAAACACTAGCCCTTCACAGGTACATTTATATTGCATTGTGATTGCCTGTTCATCTTTACTAAGACATTTTTATGTTCGGTATATAATAAAATGTATTCAAACGTTGTTCCATGAACAAAATGATATAATGCTTTCAGCAAACAGCTACAAGTGTTTATATTTCATTGTTAGAAGATGTAAATAGATAGTAAAAAATGAAATCCTGTTGAGTCCCATACCAGTTGCCTCTTATTGTTAGCAATTATATTGGCTCACATGGTCAGCCTATGGAACCATCCACTTTTAGTCAACAATATTTGGAAAAGTGTTTTTGTTGTTCAGATTTTAAACAGTGTTCTTCTTGTTTGTAATTGTGTCAGAATGTACTTATACATCCTAATTATGATAATTCAATTCATTAAAGGAAATCACTTAGTGAAACTGCCTTCAACAATGAGATGAAGCTCATAGTTGGGAAGAAGGATGCCACTAGTCCACTCTACCTCTCTCTTGCCTGCCAGGAGCTAAGACTGCATGGTGTCTTTGAAAATGTGAGTATTTCTTCACAAGGACTGTTATGCTTATTTTAATTGAACATAAAGAAAAAAGTTGTCATTTCTTTGTGAATTTTATAAGCTTTGTTAGAAATCATAAAATATGTTAAGATGATGTTGATAGAAATATTTGATCCTTTTTCCCATCCTTTGTACTGAAATCATATTCTGTAGTAAAAGTAAATAAAGAAAATATAAAAAATAAAAAATAAAAAATAAAAATATTCTGTAGTGACCTCATTATCATCATTGTGTACTAGATGACCAGTAAGCTGAAGGGGCTTCCCCAAACAACAAATCAACTGATACAAGAGATTCTCCACCGTCTGGAGTCTGACTGTGGCCACCATCATGTGATGACATCTCTCTCATTGCTGTACATCTCAAGAGCAGGTAACTGAAAAGTGTTCTCGATTCTCACACATGTTCTGACTATTAGATATTCAACCTGATTTTTCTTTCTACTCAACATTTGATGTGCTTCTATTAAGTACCTAAATTTGTTGATTTATGACAGTCTAGAATAGGCACCATCAGAAGACTTTAATACAAAACCTTTTTCTCCAAAATACCAAGGCCTGAAAAAATTGCTCACCTACTAGATTAGTAGTTATAAGCATATATTTCCTCACTACTCAGGGGTTTATTTTTGGTACGACCTAAACTTACGATTCCAGGAAAACAATTGTCTATTTTTGACAAACAATGACTTAAGACAAAATCGTAAGTTAGGACGGTTCCAAAAACAGACCCCAGAGTAGTTGTGAGCAATATGATTTTTGCGGAAATTAAGCTTATTCTGAATTATAAGCCATTCTAAGATGATGCATTTATTTCATCAGGTATCCAAGAAGATGATCTCAGAGGGGTCCTGTCATCCATCGACAGACTTGGTTACCATAGCAACACATCCTTGAGTGAGATATCCAACATAGAAGTGACAGATGTGACAGCTGTGCCTCAAGCCCAGTTCATTCACCTCTGGAGGTCTATCAGTGACTTCCTCAACCCTGTGAAGATTATTGGCAATGTTGATACAATTAGTGTAGCCAACAGCAGTGTTGCTACAGCGATTCAACAAAGATATCTTAAGGCTGGTAGTGAAGATATGGTTACCCATCTTCATCATGTTCTTGCGGGTTACTATCATAATCAAGCAAACCCTAATGGTGATGGGTCTTGGTCTGGTAGCAATGTTGCAGCATTTAGAGAGCTCCCCTATCATCTTCTATGTGCTAAGATGTACCAAGAGGCTGAGGCTATACTCTGTGATTTATCATTCGTAGAGAAGATGTGCCAGCTCAATCTTGGTCAGTCCCTACTTGATGGCTATCACCAGGCTCTGGCAGCCTTTGCTACTAAATCAGGAAGCAAGATAAAAAAGGATGACAAGTTGAAAGATCACTTGGATTTTGTCTCAAGAAACATGCACATCCTCGCAAAGCACCCTACTTTGGTGTGGCAGCAAGCTTTGAATGACCCACAGACGAGTAAGTTAGGCAACAAGACAGTGTTGCAAGAAGCAGCCAGAAATGCTAGACAGGGACTGATGTTATGGAGTAACAAGATAGACACTCCAATCCCATGTACAATGACCCTGTCTAACTTTAGCAAACCAGTTACCTGCCTAGCAGTGTCTCCTGACGAGAGGCAGTTTGCATGTGGAACTGAGGACTGTTTGGTGAAAATCTACAACATGGCTAATGGCAAAGAGCTGATGACATTAACTGGTCACTCTGATGCTATCACAAGTATATGTTATGTTGGAGCTTCAAGACTGGCAAGTGCTTCTAAAGACAAGACACTCAGCCTCTGGGATCTCTCTGATGGCCATAGAATATCTAAAATGAAGGTCCACAATCGTAGCGTCAACTCTTGTGCTGCAGATAAGACTGGCAAACACCTAGTGTCTGTTGGGTGGGATTGTGGTATGAGATTATTTGATGGTTTAACTGGAAAACTCCTACATAAGGTCACAACAGGTGCATCAACAGAGCAGCGACCTTTGAATTGTGTAGCATTCCACCCAGAAGGTCAGTTGATTGTTGTCGGGAGCTGGGATGGTGCTCTAAAGATATATGATACGTTCCATAAATCTAGGAAGGCAGTGCTTAGGGGGCACAATAGCTCTATACGTGCTGTTGCCTATTCACCATCAGGTTGCCATATTGCATCTGCTGCCCTGGATGGGGAGGTGAAATTATGGTCTGCTTCACACGGGACACAGGTGAATATCAATTGAATTATTTTTAGGGACTCATCAAATAGTCCCTTGTGTCGTTTTCTGTGAAAGTTATTTTCTTCCTTCTGCTATATTTATTTCGTGATAGTGCATTAGATACTGTTTTATTGTAAGTGTATTGTAACCAACCTTTATTTGACTTTTTCAGGTTGGCACATTGACAGGCCATGCTCTACCCATCAACAGTCTTGTCTATTCCCCCTCTGGAGAACATCTTATTACAGTCAGTGATGACCAAAAAGTCAAGGTAAGAATATATGTTTGTAATTTAGGGGTTAGGGGGTAAATAATTACAGGATTCAACCAGATAGTCGGATTGTGACCATTGCTCTCATAAAAGATGATGGAAAGTAAACCCTCTTTGCAGATGAGCTATGACCTACTTAGACTACTTCCTGGTAACCAAAGTTTGTTTACAAACAACCATCGGTGCATTCGTAAAATCCATATAAAACCAATTAATTATCAAATTTTTAGCTACATTTTTTGTCATGTTCAATTTATAGGTCTGGTCAGGTCACCTTGGGCAGCCTGTTTGCCATATAGGCCATAAAGATGGTCCTGTAACATCTCTATGTTTGTCACCAGATGGCGAGACTGTTAGTGCAGGGTACCATAGTGGTAAAGTTGTGGTCTACCAAGCTGTAACAGGTATGTAAATAATTTTTAGAAATAGTCCCACATCCCAGTGATCTCCCAAGCATTAAAGCAAGTTGACTTGGCACCCTGAGATTTTGGAAAGAGGCTTGCACCCACCTAAAATTATATTTGCACCCACTAGAAAATTAGAAAAATCATGAAAAATGGGCATATTTTGGCTAATTTCGGTCTGAATTATGAAAATGAGAATTGTGCACCTACTTGGAGAACACTGTGTCCTAATGTCAGGCTTATGCCAAATCAAATCAAACAAATCAAGATCAATATAGAGTTATGACTATGAGTTACAATATAGGTTTAGGCAGAATTCATTATTCCTGCCCAGTTCTTTGTAATATATGTCTAGAATGAGGATTGATTTGATAGAATGTGTTTTGTTCAGTTTTTCTATATTGTTATAGTCCCCAACTTTTTTGTTGGTGTTCGGTGGTTTGATTACAATGTTTGGCAGTGACAAGCATCTGTAACAAAGTCTTACAACTTCCAACTTAACAAGTACTTTTTAGACTACCTTCAAATGTTTACTGTTAACTTATATAAACATGTCATGAGCTCCAACACATTTCTGCCAATATCTGTAACCATGGCAACATACTTAAGGTCAAAAAGGTCTTTTTTCAAATTTTTGTCAAATTCATCAACATGTTCTCAGAAGTTCAAATCTTTTGTAACACTTTTGTAACCATTTGCAGGTGATTACATTTTGTCCTCTAAATACCTTGTCTTCTACTGTAGGTAGTTTTGTATGTGAGATAAAGGGTAGAGGAGTACCAGTGCGGGCGCTGAAATATGCAAGACGTGAAGATCTACTCTTTATAGGCTCTGATGATGGAAGCCTCGTTCATCAGGTCAGTTCTCATTGTGTACCACAGGGAAATTAAGAGAAACTTTGATATAACATTTGAGCTAAGGAAATAAATCTCATACATCAGTTCATTATCATAACGTGAAATATGCTCTAGTTCTTCTCTTGATACAAGTCCTCCCAAGAATTGCCTACATCCACAGAACTCCTGCATATCTCATGTCATTGTTACATAACCTCTTAAAGTATGTTCTACAATACTACAAACACACCACAAACTGCAGAAGCATTCTTTTGAAAGTCCTCTCAGTTTATTTGCCATTTGAGTCTTTTTACTTGAAATCTAAAGTTCATTACTGTTTCTACTGTAGGGCATTCGTCTGAACAAGGGTACCTCAACAATTCTGGAAGATGCTGGCTGTATATTATGCATAGCTACAGGGAACAGAACTGTTGCTGCGTCTACAGAATCCTTCATGACATATGTGTGGCGATTTGGTACCTTCTCCCACCCCTATACGTAAGATTTATTTCACACATAAAGCCAAAAACATACATCTCTTATTAGATATAAACATATTCCTGTCTATGAAAATGTCTCAAAAAAGTTTGCTCAATTTATCAGAGATACTAGTATATTCTATAGTGACATTTCAATAACTCATGCTTCCATTCTATATAGGTTCCAGAAGGTGATGAGGATAGGGGGTCACATTGGTCCTGTCACTTCATGCTCCCTTAACTCATCAGAGACAAATATTGTGACTGCCAGTAGGGATATGGTAAGTAGAAAAGAATAAAGTATAGTTCATGTTGTCGATAACCCCTCAACAGTTTTCTTAGAAACATTTCTTTTCAGCATTTTTTCAACAAAGGAGGCACTGAAAATGGTTTGTTAAGTACATCAAATTTCTTAAAATGAAATATGTGCAGTGTATGCCTTCTTCTGCACAGACCCCTCTCAAACTAGTAATGAATATGCCATGCATAAACCTTAGATTTCAAATACCCTACAAACCTACCCTACAAACAGTTTACAATTGTGATTTAACTCAATTATGTAAATTTTTTTACAATTCTTTTGCAGTCAATGAAAGTTTGGAAAATTGATAAATCCACGATTCATCCTGAGAAATCGTTTGACTCCTGCCACTCTGATTGGATAAATGGCTGTGTGTGGTCAGAGAATGACCAGTTCATTGTAACAGCATCAAATGACTTCAATATGAAATTATGGGACATGAAGACAGGAAAGGAAAAGAAAAAATTTACTGGTCACATGGCTGCTATTAACGGAGTTGCATATAGTGTGAGTTGTGGAGTTTTTTTTACATTTTGACATTGTTACAGCATTGTAACAATGGGGATATCATAATAGTCAATGTCTGTTAATGTCAAAGTATCAATCCTAAAGAATTTCCCTTTAATAGATAACACTCTAGTTAGGCCTCAGCTAGGCCCTTATTGCTTGTAATAGTGTAGAGTACAATGAAACATGTCTAAGTAGAACACATTTTGTGTTCCATTTTGGAGGTGTTCCACTTATAGAGGCTCATTTAACATTAGTCTGGGACTCTGAAAAATGATCCACTTGAAGAGGTGTTTCACTTCTAGAGGTGTTCCACTTTACAGGTTTCACTGTACAGTTATATATATAAATAATGTTTATTCCAGTATGGTTGCCTTGCGTCGGCATGTGCTGATGGTTCTGTAAAGGTCTGGTCCCAGAAAGGCATAGAGGTCACCACCTTACATGGGCACACACAGAGGGCCAATGCCTGTGATATATTTGTGAAACTCAAGAAGAAAGAATGTGAGTATGGTTTGTATTATGCATATACATACATTGTATTAATGATGCTCTGTATATCTAGTATCTACTTGTAGCATTTATCTTGTGTAAATAAATATGGAGACATTTCCTTATGGGAGCCTTTGGGGTATACATACCAGTATATTCATTCTGATTGTTCTGCCAGTTTTGCTGCTTTTCATTATTTTGTCAAATGTAATAGGAACACATCCTGATGTTTGAATATTGAATATACATTTTTATTTTGTCGCGGTATTAATGAGTGCTTTCTTTCTACCACCCATGACAATAGAATCTTGTTCTGATTTGCTGATATCAGAATTGGAGCACATTCTCCCCCACCCCTTGCCCTTGTGGCTTAAAGCAATTTACTTAAAAAAAATATTTGAATACAAACTTTTAAGTGTTACTTTATTGTCTGTACTGTATATTGCCTACATGCCTGTAGATACTGTTCATGAATTGATTTTTTTTATCATCTTTCATATTTATTGTAAGCACAAGTCATTTAGATACAATTACAAGGGGCAAAGCGCTGTAAGCATTAGATGTCCCCTTATATAATTAAACAATAAAGTACAATATTCATTTTAACCTGGATGTCACCTGTAAATGGTAGAATGCCTTGCAATGAAACAAAAGATAGGAGGGCTGCTGATATCCTGGGGGAGGGGTAGTATGTTGAAAAATGGAAACAGGTCATAGGCAGGAAAATATTTAGATTCTGGTTGTGTTTTCAATGAGATAATTCGCAACCAGTGGAAATAGATTATCCATTTCTAATTGGGTTAATGATGGATCCCCAAAAAGAAAAAAGTGAATTTTGTCTTGCTGAGTTCTGAAATGAGTTAATAAGTCCCCATATATCCCTAAAGTATCTGTTATTAATTTATTTCTTTGTTGTTCTTTCAGAGGGCATTTGAAAAAGAAGTGGGGAAAAGTTTCAGGGGAACCACATAAACAATTTGATGACTCAACTGAGCTCCAATTGTGGGCTTTGAGCTGGGCTTTTAAAATTAAATCTACCCTGGCTCTATTCAGATAAAGTTCTTGTTGACGAGTTAATTTTAAACAAATTGTTGAAACAACACCAGGGAACAAATTTAATTTAAGTGTTCTTTTAAAAGATGCAATAGTTGGCAAGAGCTTTTGTTCCAAGGGAACAGATCCTGGATCATTCCATAGGTTCATCATTTTGTATATTGGAGACTTATGTGGATAGTGAATAGGGATAGTGAAATCTCGAGATTTCCTTAACAATCTTGCTTGAGGGTTTATGAATGGCCTAAATATATCTGAGATATAAATAGGTGTTAAATCGTTCACGGCTTTGTACATAATTGTTTTAAAGTGGAGGATCCTCCTCTCAGTTAAGGTGGACCAGTTCAAAATGTTAAGTACTTTGGAAGTGCTGGAGCCTGGGAGAGCACCAGAGACTATTAGACCAGCTTGGTACTGGAGACTGTCAAGTCTGTTAAGGTCACAAATAGGAGCACAGTCGTAAAGGATATCGCAATAATCAAATAAGGACTGAATATAAGCTGTATAGAGAATATTTAATTGTTTTGATTTTAGTCTACCCTTAAGTGCATGAATTGATTCCCTCTTCTGATTAAAGTGAATCGTTCAGTTACAGGCATCAAGTTTTTCCTGATGGTGATGTATTGTTTTGGTCTACATTTTGTGACTAGTTGTCATGTCAATTGTCGGGAGAATGCCATTTTACTCTGCCTTTGGCAAATGTAGCAATTGCTCCACTTTTCTTACCATATTTCTCCAACTTATATTAGTCATGTTAATGCCTTATATATAAGTCTCTTTTCCAGCCAAAACAGAGCGTGTATCCAGTGATTGGGCCATGGAGATGGACGCACATGATTGGAAGGCCGAACATGACAAAACCAAACTTGACAAACAAGATGTGAAAATTGATGATGTCATAGTAGCGTCTTGTTCTGATGATGGAACTATCCGGATCTGGCGTCCTTTACAGGTCAGTACCAGATTAGTTAGGATTTTTGAAGCACTAAAATGAATAACAGTAAAACCTGTCTCATCTGAATGCCTTTGGGACCAGTTAAACCTGCACATCGCTCCAAAACGCAATCTTGGGTTGTTTCGGGGGTGAACTTTATCATTTTGAGCTTAATGAAAGATTATAGAATGATGAACAAATGGGGCAAATCTTGTGTAGAAATATTTACGATAAATGTGTCATTTCAAAGATTATTCATTGAATTGCTTCGATCGGCGCCGACGATATGATTTTGGAAAGGTTTCTAAATGAAGAACGTGACGTCACTTCCGAATCATAGCATTCAAAGTAAGTAGCGTTTAATTACTTACACCATTCATAATAATAGGTGGTCTAGCGGTACAATTCTCGCTTAGCACGCGAATGAGTGCCAATCAAGAATTTGAACTTTTAGGGACTCGTCCCAAATTAAAAATTAATCAAATTCACACATAATTTTGATTTTTGAAAAATTATAAAATATTGAGATTCAGTATATTTATATGAGCAATAGCATGTACGAGAAATAAAGCTTTCAGAATAAGAAAATAAAATACTAATTTCATGCTAGCCATAGAATATTATTATACTGCGGCCTACTTTCTGTAGTATGGGTAATCTTATGTTCATTCATGTTTTTGAAATAGGGTAATGAAGTGGCAACTCTTATTGGGCATTCCAACAGAGTAACATGTGTGGCAAGTACAGCATCCAACTCCCTATGTACTGCCTCCCTAGATCTCAGTGTGAAGCAGTGGAAGCCTGCACTTGTGGCAGTCCCCAAATCAGGAGAGACTCACATTGGGGAAGTGACAAGTGTGTCAGTGTCAAAACTCTGCAGTGATCACCATGGTAACAATGGATACTATTTACTCTCCACAAGCAGGTAATGTAACAATTAGCATCAACAAATTGTAGTTAAGATTGACTTGTAAGAATTAACAATGAGTTTCCCTTTATATATAACTATCCGATTAACATTTAATGTCAATAAAGCAACAGGCTTCATGCCCATTTCAGAACTGGAGAAGTGAAGATCTGGTGGCTGTGTAACTATGACAACACACTAGGTGTCCCCCTCAGAAGAGAGCTCAGACACTCATTCAAGGTATGTAACCATGACAACACAAACACACCAGGTAATCCTATCAGTAGAGAGCTCAGAGTGGGCACATCAGAATTCCTGCTCATACATTCATATGTAAGGTTTTACACTATATTAAATGTTGATAGCATTTATTTTAAGATTTGTAGCTATGACAACAGATCAGATTCATCAGATTATCTCTAGATCCACTAGAGATCTCATCTAGGGTATTTCTTGAACACTATCCAGGCATCCATCCATTATCTAAATAAAATAAAACTGTCATTATGAAATACCAGATATAAATATCCAGTTCCTATATCACTTAATATTTTTGCAGGCATCTGACAAGTCTGTGAACTGTTCAGTGTTTGGTGAGAAGAAAGATGGACGTTTGTGGTTTTTAGTTGGTACTGACTGTGGTATGATCTGCCTATATAGCATGTCTGCTGACCCCTCCCTCTCTAGTGCCCTTGATCTAAGGTACTTATGCTCTCTCATGTTTTTTATTAAATATTTTTACATTACATGGTAAACCCTGTCTAATCCAAACACCATTGAGACCAGGCAAAAGTGTTCGGATCAACAGGTGATCACATTTCAAGGTGTTTAAATAGTGTTTCTAAAGTAGAAGATTAAAGTAATTGGACCAAAAAAGTGTTGACATTAAGGGTAGGTGTTTGGATAAAGAAAACACAACTTTAGACATTAATAATGAATAAAAGCTGTTCATGTAGATTTTTTTAAGATCTGTATAGATTTCAATAATTTAAATACTTAAAAACATAGATACATGTAGGTGCTAGACACCTAATATAACAAAATAACATTTTTTGAATTAACTAGATTACAGTAGTTATTCAACTTCTGATATTAAAACTTCTTTTCTCTTTTTGTCTTCCATTTGACCACAGATTATTAGATACTTCAAGGGAAGAGTCTCCAATTACCAGTTTGGAATTGTTCTCCTCAGGAGGTGCAAACTTTGTACTAGGAACAATGTGGCAGGGTGTTGTAACACGACGAGTAGATTTCCCTTACATCACAGGAAAACCTACATATGACATGTAAGTACATGTAGTTAATTTATTCAAAAATACAAAATAATATAAATAACTTAAGCAAAATAATTGTCGAATTGATTAGCTTCTAGATTGGCCAATGGAATCTTTCTCACCTCCAAATTTAGCAACAAAGGTATGAAAATCATACAGGTGAAATTTTATGTCAATTAGCATAATGTTTGATGAAATTAAAGTGAAATTTAAGATTTTGAACAACCCTCATTCAGTTGCCCACAGCTATATTTCGTTAAAAGGTATGGACATTGAAATGGTTTATCACCTATTATCCTGCTGAAAGAAGTTTAGTAGGGATTAGAGTAGGCTGCCCTGTCCCTGTTGACTTTTTGACTATCATAATTTTAATAGTGTCACAAGAAGCAGGGATGCTTTCATAATAATATCTTGAGACCATGGGGCCACTTCTCCTTTATTAGCATAAGAGACTTTGGCGAGATGATAGCATACAGCATCATGAACATGGGGAAGTCCGTAACCCGGTTGGTTGTCACGTTTCGTTCAGTGAATAAATTAAAAAATTTGACAGTTCATTACATGAAATCAATACAACAATTTGATCTAAATAATATGGTTCAAATTTTATATGCTGATGAATTGACCTTTTGCGATCAGAATTCAAGTATTTTGTTTATGGATACTGTTGTCATGTATTTTGTCTTATTGGTATGATATCATATCAAAATAATATAAGACATGATGGAGAGTCGAAATGGCAGACACATGGCAGTTTTGAGCTGAAATGATTATCCCTTCTTTTATGCAAACTATGGGATTTTTACCAGGTACATGTATGTCGATTTGACTAGATCATGAGTATATCCTTATGTGTGTAGTAAACTTGTTTTTCAAAATCTGGGGGTGCTTAACCACTATCTAAGTCCTGCCAATAAGATCTTAGACTTAGCATGAGATTAGCAATGAATGTTGATCTAGTCAATTATACTATCGTGAAAAATAAGTATTGTATGAAATTCAGAAGATGATCTCTCTTAATCAAACAGCTACAGCAGTGTGCCCATAAATGATGATCGCAAATCATCAATTATGGGCATAAAACGCTCTACTTGAGAAGGAATTTCTAATATGACCATTCACTAAGGATTTGGTTCAATTTTATATGCTGATGCCTTAGGGACATAGGTCTCTACTCAAGAAGGAGATTTCAAGATGGCTGTTGAATTTAAAATAGTTGCCATTTTTATTATGAAAATTTTAATTTCCAGTAATAGAATTTGGTCCAAATTTTATTAAAGGCAAAGGACATTTGCTGAAGAATAATTTCCAATATGACCATTCAGTTCAATTCTTTTGTAAAAATGCAGTCTTTGAAAACTCAACTACCACTTGACGAAATTTTATGCTGATTCCTTACAGGACATAGAAGTTCAAGAAGTAATTTCCAAGATAACTGCTGAATTCAAAATGGCGATCTCGTTTCATAAAGAATATATTTTGTTCTCATATACCAGTTGTCAGATTTGGTTTAGATTTTATTGGGAATGCTGAATTCAAAATGATTACCATTTCTCAGGATTTTTTTAAAATTTAATCAAATAGTGAGTTATTGAATTTGGTTCAATATTTGAGTCACACCCAACCCTTATGATTAATTTTCACTGATGTTTATGCTTAACTTTTCTATTCCGTATACCGTATGGTGAAATTATTTGCAGGCATGAAGACTGGGTGATAGCAGGATATTTAAAGGACCAACTCTATGTGACAACATCCTGTAATGGATCTATTCAGTCTAGTAAACTAAACATTACTTCTAAAGAACAGGTGAATTATAGCTCCATATTCGTAGTGTTACATAATGTAATGTATGATAACAAGTAAAATTCAAAATCTCAAGACCCTATCATCACAGTATCATTGCATCATGACAACTACCATTGGGACAACCAGTTGACATTGAAATCCATTGACATATTGACATTGAAATTCATTTAAACTTATATTTTGCTCTTACTTTAAGCCATCAATTAATGAGGATCAGGTTTTACACAAAGGTCAAAAATGTAAATTATAGAAAAAGTTAGAATCAAGTCTTATACTAAGTTGGCATTCCTTCAAGTTTCAAGAGGTTTTGAGAGGTAAAGTCCACTTACTGTTATTTTATTGCTCTCCCAATCACTGTACCAAGCTTTGTGGTAACTAAGTCGCTACCATGGTGACAATCTGTTGACACTGAAATCCATTAAAACTTACATTTTGCTAATTTCTTGAATATAAAAGGCATACCTTTTTACTTTAATTTTGACAGAAAACACTCGTTGTGATACCTGACGAAGATCTGAGCACAGAAGACTCTCACTCTGGTTCTATCCCATGGCTATTGTGTGCAACTATGAACAAGTACAACACCTTGTGTGTCGGTGACTCAAAGGGACATCTACATCTATTCAAAACCAATAAAGCTAACAATAAGGCCACAGTAAGTTGATTTCAGTGCAATGAAAAATATTCATTATGGATACATTATCAAAAAAGTTTGTAAAAAGAGTTTTGTCTTGTTGGAAAGAGAGTGATCTCATAAAACTACCTATGACAGTCCTTGAAATACAAAGAAAGGAATAAAACCATGGAATTAGAAAATGAGTTGTTTTGATAGGCAGAATGCTCAATTAGTTTGTGATAGAAGCAATATCATTTACATATTATAAACTACCACAAAATTAAGATTTTGAAAAGTATCTTGCACGAGCATGAGAAATGAATGTAGGAGGGCGTACATGTACTTTAACATGTATATTTTACCTCCTTCCAGATCCACTCTGGTGCAGTGACAAGTGTAGCTTTGTCTGGTGATATAATGTTCACAGGGTCAGCTGACTCTACTGTAAAAGCCTGGCACTTCAAGGACAGGAATTCATACATTCAGGTATTAGACATGAGTCACTGTCGCAACTGAACAATTTATCATTAACTTTAGGCTTTTAATTAGGTTTTGATTTATTTTAACTTGAAAATTTTAATTAATTGCCTCAATGCTTTTTGCACATTTTTATATTTTAACCATTCAGAAGTAGTAAATACTCAATAGTTAAATCATATCTAATCTGGAATACGACTTTGGGGTATGAGTAAATAGTATGAGTAAACAAAGACTGATTTATTGATATCTTAAAGACAAGAACATACAATTTTTATATTTCCTTCAAAAATCTCTACTTATTTCACAAGAATTGCTATTTTTTCAGGTTGGGCAGTATTTCTGTCAGTCACCCATTGTTTCCATGGCAATCATCCACGAGGGCAGTGCCAGTGTTCATATTGTAATTGGTGACCAACATGGGAATGTAGACTTCCTCCAGTGGTCATTTACACACAGAACAATGATGCCCTAACAATCTGGATTGTGCTCAATATCGACTTTTATGCATATAGAAATTATTACATGTAACGTTACATGTTACATGTAATTATACGATTTAAAATCGTTTAAATTTAAATATGAATTGAATATAGGGGGGGGGGGGCAGATGTGCTTTGATAAGTTTTTTATAATTGGTCTCTTCACCTGAAACTTTCTAGCTCTTCTTAGAATAAAGAAGAATAAATTATGTTTCAGCGAAGAATTGTGATTCTGACCCCCCTAGGAGGAAAGTTAGAACTGGTCAAAGTTACTGATATGCTGAAAATTTCAGAAGGTTTGACTTGAAAGGATAAACCCCTATGGCAGATCTGCTCCCCCTAACCGTTAGTGAAATTCACTATAGACTAATTGTTCAAGGGTTAAATTGTGTTGATCAAAATAAGATAGCTGCTGTTTTAAGTTAAATCTTAGAAGTCCCATGAGATGAAGAAAATACTTTGTACAATATGGTAACCTTAACCAATTAAATGAAATCAAAAGTAGTGTTTGTAGAATAGGAATCTGTATTTTATTTGGCTCTGGATTAGTCTGTAAGACCCAGCACTAAGGAAAACTTCCTCTCTGTGCTGTGTCAATGGTGTCATTAAGGTTAATACAGAAATCTGCTATCCAAGTACACATATAAATTGATATACAAAATGATTTTCAGATTTATATTATATCCTTATATGATAGGTATTCTTAGACTAGTTCTAAATCAGTTTTTGTTTTTGGTCTTTACAACCAATGTTGTACATAAAGTGGATATTCTTTCTAGCTAGCTCCGTGTTCATGTTATTTAGAACCTGTTTTAATGATCCAGACTCTAAAATGTTATGCAATAAAGATGATTATGATTCAATATTAAGGTGATAATTCAATACACATTCATTTCCAAAATGAAATTCATAAGTTTAACTATAGTTTAATATTAATCAAATATCATTTAATTTGAAATTCCATGTTTTTCAATGGAAAAAAGAATGAAAATGTGGTTGAAATAAAAGAAATATTACAAAAACTGCCAGTAGTTTGATAATTCAAATGCAAATGAGGTATATTTAGTGAAATTGCAAACATTAGCTGATATTTGAGGGTCTACTTTATGATAATCTATACACATTAAATGAACCAGTTATTTTCATACTAACTGTGATCGTATGTTCCCCATTATGAAGGTACCACAATCGCTAAAGCAATCTAAATAAATTATTATTTTAAAAGTAGAATGGATCTGCATCTTTAAAACAGTAATTTCTATATGTTTATATACTCGTATTAATGTAACTTTTTACACCGCAGGGTTAAATTGCTTTGTAACGAAAGATTTTGTGCCTTTGTCAAAAATCCTGAAGCTTCTGTATCAAAATGCTTCATAACAAGTCAATTAAACATGCTGAGTATCTCTAACCAATGGTAATTGTCCGTTTATATCAACTTTCTATTTACAAGATTTAGCCAAATCAGCGTTTGTTGGTTGCAACCTTACTCTCCCTATTGAAGGTAAGCTTAGACCAACTAACTAACATATTGTTACACATTGTTTTATAAATGGAATAGTCATTTACATTTTCATATTCTATCAATTATGAATAAATTTTGTATTCATTATATCTTTGTTTTATCTATATTTATTTCATATCCATCGTCACGCGGTAGTATCTCTTCGGGACGTATCGAAACCACTCCGTCCCGAAAAACCGTTAATTTGAATTTAAAACCTACCCCAGTGTTTGAAAATCAAGGATTGTGAGTCTCGCACTTCACCGTTTTTCTTCAAACTTGTTCCGTACAAAGCTTCACAGAAATACCTTTCAGTCGATACATTGTTTTCGTGTACAAAGTACCTCGTTTTAGCGGCGTTTTGGTCCCCAGCTGCGAGATAAAGCAAATTTTCATAACTTTCAACTGTAAGTCAAGTTATCTCGCCAGTCTTTTACCCATTCTCGCTCATAATTTCAGAATGGACTCCCATTACAACCTTCCATCGCTACGTTTTGATTTTTGGGCATCAAACGCAGCAGTTTCTAAATCATCCACACATCTCTTCAAATTTGACCAATACGTCCCGTCATCTTCCACTACGCCCCGCCGAGTCTATCACTATACACGTAGAGTTGCATTCTAAAACAATTTGTCCATCGATGTGTCCGTTTGTAGGTTGCCATTGTCGATTCTAAATACCAATCGGATTGTGTTTTAAGATTTACCCATTCTTGTCCATTTTCAATATACCTATAATAGGGTGGTCCAAAATCTCCATAAAATTTAGATTTCCCGATATTGCTTTAAGAAACGTTTAAAGTGCCATATCCTTGAAAAAATGTTAAAATGCGAAAGGATGGGTGATGTCAATTATATTATTTTCAGCATAACGTTAGAAACATGCATCATTTTATATGGTACACGTTTCATAATGTAATCCAATGGAATCATACAGAAGAAAGGTTGACACACAACAGTTAAAATCTTTATATTACATTATCAGACCAAGTCAGTAGATGTTGTTTATATACCAATTAGTGTTGTATGATGATGCATTCTTTATATGAATCTAGAAACGTTTTTGTGCCAATATCGCTCAATTTTGATAACATCTCCGTTATTTTGAAATTAAGCGTGGCAAAGTTTCCCGATGGATTTAGCTAAAAAAAGTGGTGCCTGTAGGGTTATTGAAAATCATACATGATGAAGAAAAAATACATATTCCTGAAATACAACAGTTTAATTTTGAGTTATAAACCATTTAAGAAAACGGCATATTTGTCAAAATTACCAAAACTTCAAGTGAGACGCGTGGCAAAATTTCCCAGGGGTCTAGAGTGGAAATATTTGTACCAAGAGTCAATTTGTAACTAGAATCTATCAGATGACAGATTTTTGGAAAATTTTGCAGATTTGGACAACCCTAACCTATAACTTTGTTGAACCTGAAGAAACGTATCAACTTTTTGTTAAATAAAGATAGCAAATTCAGCTGTCTACTGTACCTAACTTGTACTTTTTGCTAGTACTCAGATTGATGGATAATCTGTCGTATGACATGCGACAAACATATCAATTCTCATGGGTTTACATGGGAATGTCGATTTTCAAAAATTCATCAGATTTATCATCCATTTCCGATCTATTGTAATTGAGGAAAAACATCAAGAAAATTTGGAGGTATTGGGAATAAAGTCAAGTTATATTTCCGTCAATTTTATAAGTATTTCCCCCGCAGGTTATGTAGATAAAAATTCAAACATAAATAGGCTTTAACACGTAGTTCAATGGGGAGCTAAGGTTGCCAAACTTATGGAGGGGACAGTATCATGTCAAAGTATATTTTGTCACCAATTACATGAAACCTGCTACTGCATTAATGAAACTATTATCCCGGTAAAGGACCTGTTTCAGATTCTATTACCGCCTCCCCATGAAAAAATATAAATTCATCAATCAGTTATAGTTATACTCCGTATGTATGCTAAACTTAAGACTGGTGTTAAGAATCGACCAAAGCAAACCTATGTAAAATTACACAACGATGAACAAAATGTTTTAGAATACAACTCCACGTTTGTAGTCATAGACTCGGCGGGGCGTAGTGGAAGGTGACGGGACGTATTAGTCAAATTTTAAGAGATGTGTGGATGATTTAGAAACTGCTGCGTTTGATGCCCAAAAATCAAAACGTAGCGATGGAAGGTTGTAATGGGAGTCCATTCTGAAATTATGAGCGAGAATGGGTAAAAGACTGGCGAGATAACTTGACTTACAGTTGAAAGTTATGAAAATTTGCTTTATCTCGCAGCTGGGGACCAAAACGCCGCTAAAACGAGGTACTTTGTACACGAAAACAATGTATCGACTGAAAGGTATTTCTGTGAAGCTTTGTACGGAACAAGTTTGAAGAAAAACGGTGAAGTGTGAGACTCACAATCCTTGATTTTCAAACACTGGGGTAGGTTTTAAATTCAAATTAACGGTTTTTCGGGACGGAGTGGTTTCGATACGTCCCGAAGAGATACTACCGCGTGATCGTACCTACTATATTCAGAGCACGATCAATGTACCACATACAAAGGCCGATCCAGAAGTTCTAATAAATTGAAATTCTATTTGAGATAAAGTTCAATGAAGATACCCAAACTAATGTCCTTCTGAATCAAAACACGCATGAATACACTGTGGTTTCTCTCTACCAACTATTTGTACACGTTTTGCAGTCCTACTCAGGTGTTGACAGCATTTTCGCTTTTAAGAGCTTACACTTTACACGTTTGGGATTTGTAGAATATAGTCATGACAAGGAAAGTTAAACAATTATTGCCAAGGGTAATTTGACTTGTTAGATACATTGCCTTTCAGGAGTCTTAACCCATGCTTGATCTGATTCTCCCTAAATCCTAAAAAAACATAATTATAAAATTTGCTACGCATCCGATAAGAGGTACTTTTAGTTTTACTTAAATTAAATTCCAATGAGCCGAAGTTCTATTAACCTGAGCATACTTTGTAACGTCACGAAATCTACTGTGCCTCTCTAAAATTTTGTAAATGGCCCAACAACTGAACAATGAAAAGACGCCTGATGGCTTTATTCTGAATCGTATGTTCATCCCAAATACATATAGTACATACAAAGTAAAAACGAAAGTCTGCCCCAGTGTTACCCTGCGCACAGAGTCTAGTTATAAACTACCGAAGAAGACGAACGAATGCAAATGGTACCCCAGTATTGAACTTCGGTAAACAAGTTTTTTATTACATTTTTTGTAAAGAAATAATTTGAAATAAATCTAAGCAAGAGTACGAATCATTTGATTTGAATATTTTCTTTGATAATTGTGTCTTTAATTCACCACAAGGTCACTCCTTATAACTCGGGTTTGATGAATAATATACATTCGCATTGGAATTCTAATACACTTAGTGTCAGACATCATTTGTAAGTTATATCGTTAACTATGAATCAGTAATTATGTATCGTGATTTTCCCCTATTAGTTATGTTTATCTGTCAAGGTATGAATATATGATAAAGACCAAGTAAATGTTATGTGAGAACTAAGTTTTTTGAAAACTTTACCTGAGGCACTTTAGGATACCTCCTGCTAGTGCCATGAATAGTACAATAACGTCATTTCTAAGGGCGATATAGTGAAATATTGGACCAAGGGCCGAAGGCCCAAGGTCCAATATTTCACTATATCGCTCGCAGAAATGACGTTATTAGTATTATTACCACCGTTAACGACCAGGACTGAAACAGCAAGAAAATCTTACGCATTGAACGATATCTAATTTCCCGGGGAAAATTGCCGGTCCAGAATATATTCTAGACCGGTCCATATGGACCACCACTATGACGTCACACATTTCTCTGGTCGATATAGTAAAATAAACGCCTTCTAAACTAGCACTAAAACCCCTAGAACTGGCCCGGCAAGGTGGTAATAATATGTAAGAGATTGGTCTGATATAGTATTTTAGAATTAAAGACAGTTTGTCAAAATAACTAATACCAATGTAAAAGTCACTTATTAATCCATTTCCAAGCAAAAATACTTCTCCGTATTTATTCTAACAATATCACCTCCGATGGATTTTGAGAATGAATTGGATTTTGGATATTCGGGACGAATGAAAAGAACATCACTCGACTTACTCACGTCGAGAGCTACCATGTTAGATTTTGAAAGTATAGCTCTCCATCGTGAGGATCTCCCAGCTGAAGAATTGTGACATCTAATTTTGATCAGCGCCAGTCAACGGCTTGCTGTTTGTCCCAAACTGTAGCCTACATTATGGGCTCATATGTGTCTACTTTCCCCGTGCATGTAGGATCGCGGATGTGCTTCTATGGCGATCAGGAGTTCTAATCGTTTATTGTTCGATACCCATTTCCAATATGGCGGTTAAACGGAAATACTATCGACGCATGCGCAACTTGGGAAACGTCAAGCCGCCATATTGAATATACCTGGCCAAAACTTTTGACACGACCAATAAAATGAAGTCCTGATCGATACATAGGGCAGTGAGACGTTCTATAGTTGAGCTGAATGAAAGATGGCGATGTAGGATACATTTTCAGGTATATAATGTGCAACATGAGTCAGCTGAATTCCCTGAAATTTTCTTTGAAGTCAGGATTCTTAAGCTGTTGATTCTAGCGATAGAGAGCTATACTTTCAAAATCTAAGTAGCTCTCGACGGGAGTAACACTCGACTTCCATTGAAAGCAGTGAAGACCGAGCGTGCGAAGACGATAGCTGGGACTTACTCACTTCGAGAGCCATGTTAGATTTTGAAACTTATGGCTCTCAAACGGAGAAGTGAACAGCTGATCAATAGTGACCTTTGAAATTGAATTAAGTCGATCCGCGGCTTACTTTTGGTCTCTAACTGTGTCTTACATCAGTATCATCAATCCGCGTAAGTATTGGAGCGCTGGCGTACTTCTTTTTCGATCAAGACTTGTAAATTGTCCATCGAGTTAAAGTTTTACAGACAGGTATTTCCAATATGGCGGTTTGCTAGGTGCGAGATACGCAACGAACGAAATGAATTTTGAGAATTAGTTAGGTTCGGACAACCTCCGGAGATTTACGAAAATGTCCGAGC